GAGCCTTCCAAAAACAACATCGTATTAAAAATATTGCCATGTTCACCCATATCTCTTGACTTTTCAGTAAACTGGCATTGAAACTGGCATTGGGTTTATTTTACTATAATGTCATGCGAGAAAACAACGCGCTTCACATTTGGAACGAAATGTGTATTATGTAGTTGTGATAGCTGCAAAGCTGAAACCTATAACTAATCTACTTAACTCTCAACCTCGTAGCCGTTGGAGTGACTTTCATAAGTAGATAAATGGGTCTTTGGGGGGGGGGGGACTGATGTTAGGTGAATTAGTGCACTCTGCGCAGATATGAATATGAGTAATTGTGACAGCTTCATTTTACTAGCCATTGTCNTAGGTGAATTAGTGCACTCTGCGCAGATATGAATATGAGTAATTGTGACAGCTTCATTTTACTAGCCATTGTCTAAACAGAGATTGATCATAAACAAAAATCAAAAAAAACAAAAAACAAAAAAAAACAAAAAAAACAAACAAAGAAAAAAACAAAAAAAACAAACAAACAAACAAAAAAAAAAAAACGAGCGAACAACTCGAACCGAATAAACCTAAAACCAAAATCGCAAGGGTCAACTTAAAAAACATAAACTCTTTGAGTTGGTGAGAATTTTAGAGCCAACAGTGCATGTAATGTGTTTTGTTTCTGTTTAAACAGAGCGAAACGAGGAAGGATTGGATTAAACCAAAAACCGTATTAGTGGAACTGAGAAAATCATCACTACAAACACTTGTAAACAAAAGCTGGCCAACAGAAACACTACACCGTGGGCCAGTATTTACGGATTATTAACTGTCAAATCTAATCTTCAAATCTAAGTTGGTATTGCTGACTTGCAACCAGTCAACTTATCATTTCCACTTGAAAATTGGTGGGATTGTCGCTGGTAATCTGGGTCGGCCGTCTGTAGTTTCTTTTCTGGCGGTTCAAGTCTGTAGCCTGTTCTGATCTTTGTACATACCTGATTGCTTTGGGGTATCAGAGTCATATTTGCTTATAATTATAACAAACAAACAGACCGACCGACCGACAGACAAAGACAGACCAGCCAGAAAAGACCAAAACAAAGGGAAAAATAGAACAAACAGCGCAATGAAAATAGACTGTTCACAGTCCCCTATTTTTCCGTGAGATCGTAGATGTCGATCGTTGAGTTC